TTATACTCCAATCTACGCTGCCGACCTAAGCCCTCATCGCACCTTCTAAAACTACTACTTTTTTCTCAACCAGTTCCCCAGTCTACAGTCGTTCTACAAAAAGCTAAAGTCCAGTCATGGCCGTTGCACCCCCTCCTCCACTTGCCCTCGGTCACTCCAGTGGGCCCGTTGTAGACAGCGCGGACCGTTTCTACAAGTTGGGTACTCCGAGCCCGCCGAGCTTCCCCGAGTACTCCCCGCCGAGCTGCTACTCCGAGCTGGAGGAGAGCGGTTTTCACTCGGACGAGGAGATGCAGAAGGTGAGAGACCGTTTGGTGTGGAATGCTTTGTTTGCGTGCCAGGGGGGTGATATTCATGGCCGGCGGTGCTCTGTGTAAACTTTCTCAGAGCACTGTCCGATTAGCGGTCGTCGCGCCTTCTTTTAGCGTAGGAGTGTGCGGTCTTGTGGGATTCAGAATTGTAACCTCTCTCTCTCTCATTTAGACTCAGAATGAGATGACTTGCTACCTCGGTAGTAACAGCGACAATGATGCAAGCAGTGCCTCTGATATTGACGAAATTCTGCGCGAGATCGACATCACCGAGGACCTCTCTTCTCCCTCTCCAGTGGCGATCAAGTCTGAGTTCAGCCCGCCGCCTCCCAAGCCTGGTGTGCCCCTCTGTGATCACCCGATCGAGGTGAAGACGGAGCTGAACGTAAGCTGCTCCTCGCCAGGCACTCAGCCGCTACAGCACTTCCTCTATGCCACCACCACCCCACCTCCTCCTCCCAGCTATGTGGCCACGGAGCACGTCACGATGCAGAAGTCAGTCGCCTTCTCAGCCAGGCGGAGTGCCGGGCGCATGGTGGAGCTCCCGTCACCGCCATACTCCCAGAACACCACGATGGTGAATATCAACCCGCAGAGAAACAAGCGCGTTCACCGTTGCTCGTACCCGGGCTGCAACGAAGTCTACACAACGAGCTCCCACCTGAAGGTGCACCAGCGGAGACACACTGGCGAGAAGCCTTATAAGTGCAACTGGGAGGGTTGCAGCTGGAAGTTCGTCCGCGCCCACGAGCTCACGCGCCACATGTGCAAGCACACTGGAGTCAAGCCATTCAAGTGCCAGCACTGTGAACGGGCCTTTGCTCGCTCCGATCACCTCAAACTGCATAATAAGAAATGCCCTAAGTGACTTGCACGACTACCCCAGTGTGCTATATGGAGACTCCTATAATTATTGCATAATGTTTACACAGGACTAAAGTACTGAACCACAGTATAAGTACACATGCACTGATTATAAAGCACATTTGTCATCATTCTATTACTGAAATAAAACACCTATATTGTTGTACATTCACACATTGCACACTCCCTTTGCTGTTTTCTAATGAAGAAACTATTGTGGAAGAAAGCGAGCAGACAGTATGACTGCTAGAATGCGTTATGATGCACGAAGTTTGATTGCGGCTTACGGAACAGACTGTTGAATGCATTAGGCTTGATTGCAGCATGCTACTTTATAAGAGTGACCTTCTCTTTGTCTCTTGGTCTGGGCCACGAATGCCGGAGCTATTTTTGATGAGCAGAACTGGCGATGCAGGATGGACCAAATGCCGGGTGAGATAAAGATATAGCTGGTTGCGAAAAGTGCCAGCTCCATCCACTCTACTACTCTCAGTTATGTGTGAAGATGTGTAAGGTGTGTGTGTCAGTGAGGGGTTGCAGGATATATCAGAATATGAGGGAGGGAGAGAGGTGTACAGTTTAACAAAAACACTTCAGAATATGAATGAGGGAGAGAGGTGTACAGTTTAACTAACAGTGTCTCAATACAGCAGTATGGCTGAAACCATAGTCAGAAATTCATGTGGAAAGCTTTCACGAATCATGTCCCTTGATGTCAAAAGTGGACTAAAACACTCTTACACTCATACATACATACATACATACATACATACATAGCTGGGTCAAATGCATCCAGCTATATTTACTCTTTACCTTGTCTGGCCTTCCACAGTTGCTACTGGATTTCCCCAAGACAGATATCAATCTAAAGAGTGACAGAGGGATCACCCCGCTGATGGACGCCGTGAAGACCACCAACATGTACATGGTGAAGCAGCTAGTCAAGAAAAAGGCCGACATCTCTCTCACTGACTATGAAGGTATGTACACATACATCTCTATGACACACATTGCAAAAGATTACACCCTCACCCTTCCTCTTCCGTTATAAATGACACTTTTTCCTAACTTTTCTCTTTCTTTCTTCCACTCTTCCCAGGTCATACCGCAGTCTACTGGGCAGCCATGACAGAGAACGTGAAGCTGCTGATGTGGAGAGGACCAGACACCATTAAGGACGAGCAGGATAACAAGGTTTGTCTGAGTGGCAGGCTCTGGCAGTTGGCCCATTCTAATTACCCCACAGCCTCCAGGCTTTTTTCAATGTAGCAGGAGCATGCACTTTCTCCGGATAATTTAGCATAGCCAGCCTGATCGCGTACCCCTGGGGTAGTCATGCTGCTGAACTAGTTCAGTACCCCAGGGTGCTGTATGGAGAGGCTGACTCCTATATAATTATGGTGGAATAGGGTTTACACAGGTACAGTACTGAAACCACAGTATATTGAGTACACATGCACTGATTATAGAGCACATTTTCCTTGTCACAATGTTGGATTGTCATCATTCTATTACTGAAATAAAACACCTACATTCACATTCATTGCACATTCCCTTTCCTGTTCTCTAATGAAACTTTTGAAGAAACTATTGTGCAGGAAAGCGAGCAGACAGCATGGCTATAGAATGCATTATGATGCGCGAAGTTTGATTGCGGCTTACGGAATGGACTGTTGAATGCATTAGGCTTGATTGCAGCATGCTACTTTATGAGAGTGACCTTCTCTTTGTCTCTTGGTAGCAACAGAGTCGGGTCACGAATGCCAGGGCCAATTTTGATAAGCAGAACTGGCGATGCGAGATGAATCAAACGCCGGGTGAGATAAAGATATAGCTGGTTGTGAACAGTGCCGGCTCCATCCACTCTACTACGAGCTACAATAGCAACCCCTCCACTAACTCACACTATAGCTGTACATAGTCTCATTCAAAGACACAGTAACCCTTTCATGTGGGGTACACGTGTTGTAAGAGTCTGGGCACAAGACAACTCAGAAGTTGCCCAGCAGAACTGGTTAATGGCAGGGGCGCACGACCATGCCAGTCCGCCGAGCCTCACTCCCTCACCCGAGGGACAAGACGACACTATTATCACGACAATAGAGGGTCTAGTTCAGCAGCATGACTACCCCAGTGTGCTCTATGGAGGGGCTGACTCCTATACAATTATGGCATAAAGTTTACACAGGACTAAAGTACTGAAACCACAGTAGTATGCAGTATGCATGTACTTTTATTGTCTAATGGATTTTGGTTGCTAGGTAGCAGATTTTTGTTTACATGGCACCCAGCAGCTACCAGCTGAATTGTACAGGAAGGATCTCCCCCTTACTGTTCAGCCCAGGAGAATATTATGATGATACATGCGCATTACGGATAAGTTGCGTAAACTATGGAAAAAATTTGAGCACTGTGTACACAGGTGACTTTGAAGTTTAGTAGGAGGTGTCAATGTATGTGTACCTGAAGATGTGTAAGGTGTGTATGATAGTCGCAATACATACATTTGGGTATCCAGTTCTCATTCGGGTACGCACTTTATGTATTTGGGTATGCACTTTTTATTCGGATTCTGTCAATTGCATAATGAAGTTTTCTACAACCTCACTCACATTATTGTACTTTTATTACATAGCATGATGATAAAAATATTACCGCGTTAAACACCTTGAGTAACTAAAACAATGACAAATTAAACTATAACACAATGATTCTCCAAATGAAATTTGGAGTATTAGAGTTGTGAACTGGGAAAACTTGGTACCCAAATAAAAGAGTGTGCATACCCAAAATGAGAACTGGGTACCCAAATATAAAAGGTGTGCACCCAAATGAAAACTGGGTACCCAAGTACAAAAGGTGTGTGTACCCAAATGAAAACTGGGTACCCAAGTACAAAAGTGTGTGTACCCAATGAGAACTGGGTACCAAGTACAAAAGGTGTGTGTACCCAAATGAGAACTGGGTACCCAAGTACAAAAGGTGTGTGTACCCAAATGAAAACTGGGTACCCAAGTACAAAAGGTGTGTGTACCCAAATGAGAACTGGGTACCCAAGTACAAAAGGTGTGTGTACCCAAATGAGAACTGGGTACCCAAGTACAAAAGGTGTGTGTACCCAAATTAAAACTGAGTACCCAAGTACAAAAGGTGTGTGTACCCAAATGAGAACTGGGTACCCAAGTACAAAAGGTGTGCGTACCCAAATGAGAACTGGGTACCCAAGTACAAAAGGTGTGTGTACCCAAAATGAGACCTTGCCTCTCTGCCTCTAGAGAGAAAACTCACCGTCCCAAACGGAACTGTATTTGACAGGGTGCACAACCACACCGCCTGGGTTCCTCATGTGCAATATCAAAGCAGGGATAGATGGTTCCATCATTGACACGTGTTTGTCGTTTTCTGTGCCGGTTGATGAAGAGGGTACGTTTCTGTTGAGTGCGGATGTGATAATAACAGGACCTTCCCTCTATGCAGAGATGGTATACATCTAGTGCCATCACAAAAAAGTACGTGTTATACGTGGTTCTAGGCGGTGAAGGAGCGTGTTACTCTGGTTCAATAATTATGTCATCTGGCCTACATAGAACTGTGTACTACGCGAGCGTCAATTGGAGCTCAGCTTTCCAAAAACGGAAAGAATTGGATTAGACATGTATTTAGATGGCACGTGAGTTACTGCGGGGTGTTGCACATACCTTTGCCACCTTTGGGGGCTATGTGCTCCTGATTATTCTAAGACATACACTTGTGTTCAACCACTGAGTTGGATGTGTGTTTTCTCACCAAACATTTGTTTTAGTATACATAATAATTTGTGTGTACACATGCAATATTTAGGGGTGCTCCTGGCAGCACTGACCAGGGGTATCTACATAGCTTGTGCCCACCGTACATTATGTTGTGTAACGGGACTGTTAAGATTATCTTTGCAGCTCAGGCTTTCACTGTTCCCACCAAAGGTTTACTGTAATGCCACCAATTGTGCAACCCACACACATGTATTTTTCCACATCTTTATCAGCTGTATCACTATGTATATACTGTGAAGGTCATGCCAGAACAAACAGCAGCATCACAACAAGAGTTGACATGGAGGAGAGGCAACAACTCAGCACAATGGAAATTCATGGAGTTCAAACAAACTAAGAACCATAAAAATGAGTAACTAGTGACAGATGAGAATCCAACTGCAGCAAGAGTTCCCCATGACTTGCATTGTTCTGTGTTGTCTGATTGTTATATAATAATATTTTCATGGTTTGAGAGAGTAATTATCTCGTAAAAGTTGTGAATGAATACATAATAATGACAAGGAACTGCACTTAACAAATATGGAAGGTGACTACGCTGTGTGGCCTGGTAAGGTGCATGGTATAAAAAATTAATGAATAATTATTGTTCACATTGTCCTCCGTATGCCGCTATCTAAACGTCAGTGAAATAAACTTGGTTCAAATTTTCCCATGTGAAAAAAACGTCATTCCGCATCGGGACCTGTCGTAGTTCCTCATCACGTGGGGAATAGCTGTGCAGGTGTACATAAATTATTATTAACAAAATAGACTGCGTATTATTATGCTAGAATAAAGGCACTAAAGTGCAAACCCTCAAGGCAAAAGAGACATTTGCACAATTCAGCAGCAGTGTATGCTATGCATGAGCAACCAGATAATGCCACACAAGTCATTTTCTGCCTAGACTACATCCCCACATCATCCAACATTGCTAAGCCAAACATAATGGCAGGTATATACCCGCCTTCCTATACTATAACCACTGACAGGAGTAAAACCTATGGCACTAAGATTGATATCTCAGATTGTTTTTTTTTACATTCTACTTTTCCCTGTTCCTTACAAACTGGACTATAAAGAGGCACAGTTTTCTGCACTGCAAATCTGCACTGCAAAGTAGAAATGAACATACTCTTGTGAAGTGTGAGAAAACTACTTGTCTAACTCTTTGGGGTCGAATATAATTTTTACGTAGCGGCTTTACGCGCATGCGTTTTGCGCGCAATGCGCAACAGCGCGTTGCCACACCCTCCGCGTGCAATTCGCGCTATACGCAAGGGCTAGGAATGGAGAAGACGCTCGTGTGTGTGTTTTTCGCTGCAACGGAGAGTTCATCTGAAGCTTTTGACTCTTCTTGGAGTTCAGGAAAACCAGTGGTCAAAGGTATGTCATTGTAATACGCAGGTAGCATATGACTTTCTAACACACTGACTGAATTTCGAACGAGTGTCTGAATTTGTAGATGCCGTTGTTTTGAAGGGTGTCTGAGATTGTATTCTGTTTTGTGTGAGCCCCAGTTTGTGTTCAGGGTGGGTAGTGCCGCTTTGTCTTCAGGGAAGTGTGCTATAATTAGAGTTAGCTACATACACATCTTTCGCGTTGTATGTGGTGTCACGATCTGTCAGCTAGCCAGCACCTAGCATGTTGTTTCCGTCGGGAATCCCCTCTTCGTAGGCTTCATGGGCATGTACTGAATCATGGAGGACCGACCTGTGTGCATGTATAGGTGTATTTGTGAACAGATTGTGTTTTTTACCCTTGTAGCCAATCATCGCCTCATCAACAGTGTTTTGGGGGTGTGGGCTGTAATTCTCCTTGCACTTCCGCTTCATGTGTGTGATGATGGGGAGAACCTTCTGCAGACAATGGTACCCAGGCTCATTCTGTGAAGGTAAGCGTGTGTCGACGAAGTGCAGGTAGCGAGATATCTGTTCGAAGCGGTCGCGTGTCTTCGACGCAATGAACGTGTTGCGCAGCTTGTCGTCAGTGGACCAGTAGTCACGGATCTCGGGAAGGCGATTTATCCCCATGACTATCATGAAGCCAAGATAGGCTTTCAGTTCTTCAACTGAGGTTGTCCACGTGGCGTTGCTGTATGCATTTTATTACTGGGATAGTACAGATCTGTTTGTGTACTGTAAATTACTCATACCATTTTCTGGTCTGCAGGGTCCAAAATTGTCGCCCTGCATGATTCTCTCTCAGTTTCTCTTCCCCTCCCTCTCCCCCTGCCCCTCCCCCTCCCTCTCCCCCTCCCTCTTCCTCTTCCTCTAGGTCTCCCTCTCTGTCCCCCTTTCTCTGTCATGCTTGTCTCTGATTGAGCTGCAATGCCATCCTCCTCGTTCGTCCAGTCCATATCACTCTCACTACTCTCTGAGCTCTCCATTTCTCCCGGACTACTGGCAGCAGGGATTGGCTCTGGATCTACAAGATTTTTACTAGCTCTAACCTTTTTTAGTCTTATTTTTTTGGCTATTCTTGCGTGCAAAAAAACATACCATCATGCATCTGCTCAGATTCTGACTCATGGACATCAGAGTCCCACTCCATCCCCAGGTCATCATCACTACGGACTCGGGGTCCTCTCCGGCGAAGAACTGGATCACTGAGATGCGCTGTGCCACCGCGTGGGTGTAGCTAGCAGAAACTAGGAGGAGCTGAAACGAGCAAACAGGCGTGGGTGTAGCTAGCGTTGCAGCGGCGGTACTGCGCAAGCCCGCGCGTTTGGTCATGATGACGTATGTACCCAAAAGGTCACGGTTTTAGTCTATTTGTGGGCAAAGTAATATCCAAAAAGCCTCTAAGCACGAGTGAAGACGCTGGAGGAAGATGCCGACTCCTGCAGCCGGCGAAGGGTCGAGGTAAGCGTTTACACGGAGTACCTACTCCGCGCGGAACGAATCCATTCCGCGTTATCACGCATTGACGCATATTTGCGTCCTCGGCCCCAAAGA